TTCAAGCTCTGGTTGAACTCCCTGCCAAAGGAAAGGCTTTGAAGGCCACTAGGCCAAACCACTCCCTCCAAACGAGCGTTGAACTTGTCACCAAAGGCAAGGTGCTTGAGGGTGACAAGGTGCCTGAGCAGAGTTGTCTCTTGCAGCCCTCGGAGCTGCCGTATCCCCTCGAGAGCCATCGACTCATCGTTGACATAGCATTCTTGGATACATCTCCATGCCTCCTGCAGGTTAGCCATCTCATAGGCGTAGGACAAAGAAGTTTGTTCTCCTTGCGCCAGCCCTTCTTGAGCCAAAGTCTTAGTTAGTGAAAGCTTCTGAGATCCTTTCATCACCACGACTCTTGCTCCAGCTTTCAGGGGAAGTCGATCCTGGATGATTCTTCGAAGCTCAGAGCCAGTGAGGGACTGGTGCACTTGGATCTGGAATGCATCTCCACTCAGGCCCACCACCTGAATGTCCAGTTCTTCCTCACCGAATCGCTGCACCGATTCGCTCATTGAGCACATGGCCGATTCTCCACTCTCTCCGAGACTCTTTGCTGACCGTCACCCATGGCGTCAAGGACCCGAAAACATGGTGTAAACACGGAAAACGTGCTAGCTGTTCTTTTCGATTCGACACATGATTTTCTTTACTTGAACATGACCTTAAGCCGCTTAAGCCTTGAACCAAACTTACAGTGGTTTCAGAGTGCATGGCACAACCACGGAAAACATGTTTGAGACGGACCACATCGATCTTTATGAATCAAACAAAGGAACCCTGAACCAACAGCGTATGATCATCTACCAAAGACCGTAAGACCCTTAAAACCCATTGGCTGGGCGTCTCCCTATTCAAAAACACCCCATATTGAGTTTCTTGTGTCCGACCATCACCAGTTGCGACCAACCAACAAACTTGGCCAAAGTAACTGCTGAACCAGTCTGTCTAGTCACCGCTGCCCTCTGCTATTCTCAACTCTATTGAATCCCCGCTGTAAGAATTCCCAACCGAACAAAATTACAAACCTAGAGTGTAGGGTGTCCTGACATTGCCTTATACAACCTCATAGCTACAATGGCTTCAGTGGTTTTTCAGCTTGCTCTTTCGCACACGCACCCTAAGGCGCACAAAGCCAACAATGCAAGTGAGCCCTAATCAACCCATTTCCCCCTCAAGTCATAGGGGAAATCATGCGCGATCATGGGCGTGCGGGGGAGCGAGCCGGACAAGCAATACGGACTCGTCCACGCCCCGACCCCGACCTGCTGAAAAAAGGACCCCGCTCGGAGCCCTGTGGCATCCCGTGGCCCTGGCCGGTTGAAGTCGTATTGTTCAGGTGAGGGTGACTGATGGATTCTTTTGGCCTGAAATCGTTGGACTCGATGTCGGAAACTCTGTGAACATTCGGTATTGAACAGAGCTAGGCCAGGAACCCATCCGGCATCTCTCTATCTCTCCCAGTCCCAAAGAAGTCATGCCGTGTCACCAATGCTTGGGTTTGCTGTCCAGGAACCTTGAACACACAATTTAAACATTGTTAAACATATATTTATATTCCCCAAGTTAGGGGATTTGCAACCCATAGGGAACATACAAAAAATCATCAAAAAATCGCCACAAAACTCGATGTCAATGTCTGCACCCATGGTCACGCTCGGCACGTCTTGCTGCTGGCAACCGAGGCACGCAAGGCCTCGAGTGCCTTGTCCACCGCCTTCGGCACCCTCAAGCCTTACCGGTGGTGCCACCGAACCGGAGAAGGTCGCCCACGGATCCCGAACAGGGTGTGTGTGTGTGTGTTTGAACAAAAAACATGCATCAACATACATACATCAACATAGAATTGATTCAGGATGTTGAAAGAGAAAAAGAGGGAACCATCTAATATACAGATCTACTTACAATCCATATATATATATAGGACAAGTTGTTGTTCTCGTATATTTTTGTTTTGCCTTCTTGGAACTGCTTAACTGTCTGATTTTTTGGGGGACCACACGAAGTTGCTCTGATTTTCCCTGCAGAACACTTCGATGGAAAGCCCGAGGAAACTGGTTGGCACATCGAGGAAACCGGTGGTGACCAGCCAACCTGGGCGAAGTGGGAACCAGCCGAACCCCTTGTGGAAGCTGTGAAGCCATGAACATCGTGAAGAGATGAAAGATGTCACTATCCCCTGGGAGTCGGTCAGACTATAAAAAGAATGGTCTGACGAACGGGGAACTGAAAGGGAACTTCCTTTACTTCAGCCGGTCAAAATATAGTCGAACTGGACTTCTAGGGTATCACTAACACAACTGTTGTGCCATTTCACCCTTCAACCAGGTTCCGCCTAAAGCCACCCCCGCTCAGGATTCGCGCATGCAGATGCATGTCATTTGGTATGACAGCTTGCCATTCTCTGGTTGAACTCGGGGAAAGACTAATCCAAAGGTATTTAGTAGTGCGTCCTTACTGAAGCGGGTTTTAGCTCATTCCGTTGACTGCATGAACACTGACACACTTGAACACTGCCAACATATCGAACCGTCCCAAAACACTTGGGAACCATCAAATGTCATGTGCTGAAGGTTGCTGAAGTCCTTCACTACTCAGTCAGCGGCGCTCAAGAGCTAGCTTCAAGAACCTGGGATTTATATTGGAGTTGCTTAGGAACGTGGGATAAGCACAACATCTTCCAAGAAATTGCAGGGACAAAATGGACCAAAAAGAAGGGGACATGCACCAAGAGTAAAACAAAAAACATATGGACAACCAGGTCTATCTCTGCAAGCAGGTCTATCGATCTACAGTAGTCCATGTTCCTCTTAGTCCAATCCGTCAAACCTCGGTCTGTGCGCATTTCCTCCGGTCGTCCTCCTCCGAGTTGCCCAGGCTCGTGGCATGTTCCATCCACACCTACGTCGGCCGAACACCACCGACTCCTCCCGGGTCCCGGGTGGCGGGACGGCGCGACGGCGCGTGGACGAATGTGTTTGAGGTGCGTCCTGGAATGAACAAAGCAAGGAACGAATGTTCAACCCTAAACCATCCGTGGGACCGGAAGATCTATGCCGCGGATTCATCCACCCCCTGCCCTAGAATCTCCGTCAAGAGGCCAGTTTTATGGATGGTCGTTGTCTGCTCCAATGTGGGTGGTAGCTTTTCAGACTAGACCCCTCCTGTGAGTGTTTTCGCCCGGCGACGCTCAACCGAAGCTCCCACCCTGGCCGTGCAAATAACCTGGCTGGAAACAAGTATGGTGTGTGGATGTATGTGGCTTACGGGGTAGCCCTAAAAGGCTATAGTATAGTCTAACAGCTCAAAGAATTGCCGGAGAACCTTGTGTTTGCAACGGAAACTGGTCTCCTCATTACAGGTATGCTAGGAACCCACGGTGTTTGCTTTGAAGGATATCAACTAAGCAAGATTCCCTGCTGATTCGGCCAGTCTCACAGGTGCAAAAATCAGCAGTCGCACTGATGGATTCCAAGAATTTGTGCACTGGATTTGCTGTCCGGGAATCGGGAGAACACATATTTCTCAGAATGTGATTTAACCATAAGGCAAACAATATTAAAAGCAACATCAGGTGAATGCCTACTCCCCACATTCCAAGTTGGGTTGCCTCTAAGTTGAGCTATTCCAAAACCATGCCCCAAAAAAAAAAACGAGCAAGCCAATAAGGAGGGAGGAGGTAGGAGCAGGGAAAAGGCAGGAGACCCCAGTTTCATCCAAAGTGACAGCATGCAAACAAAGTGCACTATTCATATCAAACACGAAAAAAGAAAACGGGACGTTTAAAAACAGTGAAGGTGAGGAAAAGATCGGAGTCCTATGAGTCCTTTTTGCTAGGCCCTCTGTTATTGTACGACTCTCCACATGCGGTGGATGCGCCCGCTGCATTTGATCGGCCTCCACTTCATGTCGATCGTTCTCCATGAGCGCACTCCGCAAACAGCGCCACGTGAGCATGGCCTCCTAAGTGACAGTCCCGGCGGAAGTCGAGCACTGAGTACTTTCGTCCATGCTTTGTCAAAACTGGCGATCTCCAAACTGGTAGCGTTTCCCAAACACTCCGTGTATGGAAAAAATACATTGGCTTCTTTACCACCCCAACTGATCGGTAAACATGTCATAAATGGAGTGTCTGGGTGTGGAATTGGAGGAAGAAACCCGAGAAAGCATTGTTCAACTAACGCTGTCTCTGGTCCATTCTTTAGTGAGAAAGCTCGTGAAGCCTTCCACTTCACTCCACACAGGTCGAAAGTAGACTTGGTCGGTTGGGAAAGTCCTATGCTTTGATATATTCACTTCTTGGATCCTTCCACTGGTTGGTAAGTGATTTAGTTTCTTCAATGTGTAGTCCCCTTGTTAAGGGGTCTATATCAGGTATTTACTTGGCTCTACAAAACTGTTTGCCATAATCAGTGGCAAAGACAAAGGCCAAATCTGTTGCTGTGGCCGAAACATGCAGAAACGATTCTGGACGAGGGCATCTACCAAAGGAATTGGCAAACTCCGGCAAAATCCGAGTGAATTCTGAGTGAATAAACTTGGATGCTACACGTTTATATATGTTTGCCATGTTTGCCTCTACATTGGCACTTGATTGTGTTTGAGTTTGATACAGTTGTAGTTTTTTGTCATCGAGCACATCACATGTGCAAATGTTGATGTTCCAAGCTGAAAACCAATGCCTTTCGCAAAAAGGTGTCAGAAAATCCACACAATCCAGTTATGGCACGAAGGCACTAGGCAACCGAACCGCCATGTTTGCATCAGCTCCAACAAAACTCCAGGAAAAGCAGAGCTGAAAAACACCTACCCACCCCAAAGAATTCCTGCTCCCCACACTATCCCTCATCCTCGCGATGAATCCACCTCACCAATCGCCCAAAAAACGACTCCTCACCCCAAATGCCGATGCCCCAAACCACCCAAATCCACCAAAACCAACCGCCCCCCAAACAAACTCTACGAGCTCACCCCGAAACATCCATTTTCGCTCAACCCAAAACATCCATTCTCTCGTAAACGAGAAAGAAAACAAACTCTTCCGAACCAAAAACCAAGGCTCTTCCGCTTCCTGCAATCCCTTGGCGGCCTCCACCAGCGCCACGCTCACCATCGTCCGCAGTCGCTTTGCCTCCTCCAGCGCCGCCAGCACCTGCGCGGCGTCACCGACCTCGACGGCCGCCAGCAGCAGCGCCTCGAGGCGCGGTTCGGGTGTCGATCGGTTTGGGGTCGATCTGCCAGTCTGACTGGGTGACTGCAGTCACATCTCAGGGTAGGGTACCTCGTCCCATCCAACGAGTGGAGAACATGGATAGCACCCAACTCGAACTGCTGAGCTAGATGTTGTCCCATTTTGATCCCATGGGACTGGAAAAGGTGCCACCCCCATGTTCAGATGGCCCATGATGGCCCCATTCATGGTGGCAAAACGAACTCCTTCCCTCCCTCGCCTGCGTCTGTGACAACTCTGGCTCCGCCGCGGCCACTTCCAGCGCCGGCGGCGGCGGCTTCGCCTCCGCCGCGGCCTCCGCGGCTGCGGCGTTGGCGGCGGAGGCGGAGGCCCAGAGAGCCATCTGAAGCTGCATCTCCTCCTGAGTTTCGAAGGGATGGAAAAACGGGCCAGAAATGCGTTGCTTTTTTATGTGTGACTGCAGTCGGATATAGTACGTGCCTGGAATGAAGGACGAACAGGTGAGAGCTTGAGTTTGCTGGAGTTTGGCACGAAAAGCAAAACCAGAGCATATCCAACCATCCTTTCGGGACTTTAATACATTAAATGTATATGGACCCCACAACTGATCAGTAGATAGGCCATACATGCCCAAACACTTACTACAGTAGGTAACCGTAGGTATGGAATGTCCCATTTATGACAATTGGACGACCATGACAATTGGACGACCAGCAGTAAGCCCGAGCGGTTGCAACATGTTGCAACTTGTCCAAGCTGCATCGGCATGTGACATGTGGGGGCGCTCCTTCTCTGTGATATCCCAAACACGGACCCTAGGGACTGTCATATATGTATACCGATCAATTGGGGTGGTTGATTTCTCGGCGTCAATGTGTAAATATTCCAGTCCCATGGAGTGTCCACTAGATTTAGTAATACCCAAAGGCTCATTGGACCCTCAGTTCGCTAGGGTTTTGACCCTCACAACTAGGGTTTTGGACCGAACCAACATGTAGCAGTTGGTTCGGGTCCAGGGTCGCCTCTGGGTAGGACTAATTTCCACCTAATGAAAGCTGTACATGGGGAGGGACCGCTCCGGGATGATGATCGATCACGATCGATCAGCGATGCACCTCTCAGTCGATGACCTGCGGTCGATGACCTGCGTGGTTGGGCCGCTCATGTGGGTCAGTGAGCTCATGTCCTGGGTGAGCTCGCCGATCCGATGCGTCCCCAAAGACGGATCCGTTCGAGGAAGAGCCTGGTTCGATCACCGGCCATGTGGCCGGAAATACATGGGTCATGCGGAGATAGCAAGTTACTGAGATCACCTGAGCCGCCTTCAATTCGATTCTGAGGGCCAACCACCCGGCCTGGCAAGATGCCAAAGTGAGATCACTACTCGTCACGAGCAGGCAAAGATGGACATGGACAAATTGCCAACCGCCCTCGAAACCGTTGCTGAAGCTACAAGCCCAAGCATCCATGAGCCGTTGCTGTGCGGCTTCTCGTGCACTCAAGGCATCTTGCCTGAGACTGTTGGCTATTTGGAATAGCTGGGGTGCGAGACAAGAAACATGGAGACTGCCTGTAAGAGGTTGGACAACGGATGTTCCTACACCAAAAAAGCTCTCAATATAATTGGGACATATTGGGACTGCGACCATGAGACTGCGGGATACTGTGGGGCACTTATAGTTGATAAACCTGTGGGGAGCCCCACAGGTTTAACCTCCTTAAGTCAAACACCTTTTAATCTTAAAAGAAAGGTCGACAGACTGCTTCACAAACCTGCGTAGCTGTTCAGGATTCACAAGTTTCCTGGCGCCTCCCTTGACTGCTCAGGAATCTCCTCATTGATGGCAACTGGAAACTGCCAAAGGGCGTACTGGCACCATGCGGAGTTCTTGAAAGTGTGGTCATGTCGAAGCTTAGATCCAAAAAAAACTAAGAGATTATTCTACAATCCAAATGGGTAGGGTTGCGATATCAAGATCTCTTACATGAACCTCTCGTGTCGCTGAACCTCTCGCTTCGCATTGTGTTTCCATCTTCACAGGATCTTCAAGAGCGACCCCATGTCGCTTCCAACGCCGTGACTCCCAGAATCTCTTCTGGCACTGGCCTATTCCTGACTTCCAGAAATGGCCCGAGGCCAGGCCTTGACGCGGATTCTGCAAAAAGAACTCTTCCAGTCCGATGGTGTGGGGTTCAACCCGAAGAAATCATTTGACCAACCCCGGAAGCTCCAGGTGGAACACCGCTCTGTGCTACCACCTACCACCGACCGACTGCTCTGTGCTCAGGCCCGGCAACTCGAAGACTTGCACTAAGCCCACCGCATCCTGGCGATGTGGACGAAGCTATCGAATGATGCACTCGAGGTGCGGCGCTAGGCTGCAGGTGGGGTGGGCAGGCCAATCACTCCAGGCATGACATGTACCTGGGGTGGTTGACCTGGGGTCAATGTAGGTATATATATGTAGCAAACATGGAGTCTAGTTTTTTTTTTCTGCTGTCACTATCCGCGTTGCTACTAAGAATAGAGGTTAAGCACGCTCATGTAATTCAATCATGGGCGATATAAAATGGTTTAGTCATTAAGCTTCAAACATGTTAAACAAGTTACTGTCAAACAACTGAGTGTGTTGAAAAACTATCTAAAATGAGTCTGGAAATCTTGACATCAAACATATAACAAATTTATTAATTAAGCAAACCCTTTACCTTCCAACACTCAAATTATACATATAATCATACATGTGTCATGTCAATTGATTTTTTACAACAGTTTAATGAATCATATATACATATGCGAACGGATGGAAAGCGTGCCCTGGCCCCGTTCAAGCCCTTAGTTCAACATGAAGCTCGCGCGCTAAAGCTCCTTTTCGCCTGGTTGGGCACTTGAGCCAAATGTGTATGGCAAGTACCTATATAGAAGCTATACTGAGACCTCATCTCTATTGACACCCCCCACATCCGTGCTTCGACGGGGAAGGGAGATGAGTGGATGTAAAAAACCGGAGAACGATCATGTTCTCAAAAGTGCATTGGAGGTCAATCAGTATGTCCTATAAAACTGAATTGGCAAGCGATTTTGCATTCGCTTGAAAGATGGATCAAACAGGTAACGGAGCTACAAATGGAAAACGTGCATCTACCTGTGGTATCATGCGATTACCGACGGTGTGAAACACAATCCTATCTCACTCCCATGATGCCAAAATGGTCATCATGAATTACCCAAGATCCCTCAGTACGTGAAGTACTGGAAGTAGTATGTCGGCGTGACCCCAATGCTCAACCATTCGTGAGTTGTCGCATGTAGTCAGCTCCGACAAAACCAATGTAGTCCTTGATGAGCTCAACGTTCCTTGGGTTTCCCCTTCGGATCTGCTCCTCAAAGAGCTTCAATTTCTGTGTTTGGATATCGGATACCTCTATGCCATGGTAGCGGCATGCAACGAGGATCTCCTTTGTGACATTCTTCCGCTCCGATTTGATGGCGGGGCTAATGTCAATGAATTTGTATGGAGCGGCACCTTCGTCATCTGGCTTCTGGTAGTAGCTGTATCGGCTCGCTCCGAAAGTCTTCCTAATCAATCGTCTGATGAAATTTGAGATGAATGCCAGCTTCTCGATGATCTCTTCCTGGGTCTCAGATCTTCGAGCCTTTGGATCACTCATGTTACGCCGAGTGCTGCCTACCTCTTTGAGATACTTGTGGCTAAGCCCGCAGCGGATTGCAGTGATCATCATCGGGTGAATAACGTGGGCGTGAAATTCATAGATCTGCCACGCTTCTGTTGCATACGTGTCGTTGGTCCATTTGCTCATGCCCACGACCTCGGCTCTCTGAAGGCGTCTTGGAAACCCAGTATCCGGATCATTCGGTACTAATGGCCATCTATTGAATGGAGTGTCATGCCGCTGCCCATCGTCGAACTTTCGCAGTACGTCTTCACGATTCTCAAAGCAATTGATGTCGAACGTTGCGTTGGCCAAGCTCTTGATCAACTTCATCAACCTCAGATCAAATTGCTGTGTGACTGCAAAGTTGTGGTCGATGGGGATCGCGGCTTCCTGTGGCAATTCGTCAATTGCGAAGGGGAAAGGCTGTGGAAGTTCATTCCCGTACCCATCTTGAGGGACCTCCCGATAGTCGGGTTCGCCTTCAGCTTCGTCCGGTCGTTCCTTCAAAATGATAGGAACTTCCTCGTCTTCCTCTCCTTCGGATTCCTCGACGTCAATGACTTCTTCGGCTGTCTTGCGTGCTTTCTTGATGACTTCATCGATGTTTGCACCTGCAGAAGAAGTCGCTTCCCCGGAAGAACTGGCTGGCACGTCTCTCGGAGGTGATCGTTGATTGCGGTCCCTTGTCTCCTTGGGTACCACATGCGTGAGCTTCCCATTCGCGATCAAAACCGCTACGCAATGCGGACATATCGTCAATCGCACGTCGACTTCGCCAAGGCAGTTAGGACACGGTCTTGAATCGTAGTCTTTCATTGCTCGGCGATATACGATCTCCTCAAAGATCTCCTGCCACTCAGTGCTATCATATTCTGGGTAGATACCACTCTCCTCGATCGTGCCCAACAGCTTTGAGATTTTGGCGTCGTCCTCGGAGTAGGTATCGTCCTGGACCTCAATCGCCAAACTCTCAAGTTTTTTTGATAGCGTGGAGTCATGATCGGGTTTCCGTATTTGGACTCCAGAACAAGGTAGCTTCCAGGGTCGGGTTCTCTATTGAGTAACCTGATCCATTCGATCTCCTCAGGCCGTCCAGGTTCTGCATTGTCGCATTGCAACCATGCCCCTTTAACCTCATCGAAGGGAACGACATCCTCAACCAATAGAGATCCAGTCGCTGAGATGAGAAGCCCGTACTCCTGCAGCTTCCACACCGGAATGTAGAGAACCACTGGGCGATCACTCAATGCGACCTTACGACCCAGCCAAGGTTTTCCCTTGTAGCCCTGTTCCCAGGCCCATGGCGGAAAACATGTGAAGTGGATAGAGTCCCTTCCCGATGAACCGAGACCTCCTGGCACCAGCCCCCGTCGCATGATTGAAGTCAGCGCTCCAAGGTTGGTAGCGTGAAATGCAGTCACCATGGATAGGGCCATGTCGTTGGTCATTCTCGATCCAATGTGGTCGATGTTGATGGTGACGTCATAACCTCCGCCGTCCGACGAGTGTGCTGAGGTTGCTCTTACGGCCACGGGAAAGCACCATCCATCGCTATTGTGGAGTCTTGCTTTGGTGATTCCCATGCCCTTGAGCTCGTCAATCCATTCCTTCTCCATCGGGTCATCAGGATCATTGAGTTCATCAGGGTGAACGCGAACTGCCAACATTTGGAATCTGATCCTCTTGGTTATGCGGAAACACTCGTAGTTCTGGTCG